GTCATTCAATCGACAAATATTCTTCAATATGTAGGTGACTTCCAGAGTCCTCTTAAAGCAAGTTCAACAATACTAAAAGCTATGCAATCTCCAAGCGACATGGTGAGTATCACCTCTAGATGAGTAGAGGGTTTAGGTGACTCAAAATCATTTAGGCAACATCAATTTGGTGAATTTTGAATTACATGCGACTTGAGATTGCTCACGATAAATAACTAGCTAAACTCAGTTCAAACTTGTAATAGCTTGATCAACCAAAAATGTGTACAATTAGTTCCAACAAATATCTACTCAATAGCATATCTCTTAAAAATATCTTTGCAAAATTTTCAATTTTTTTTTGGCAGTCAACAGTTCAGTTGGATTATTGATAGTGCAACTGTAACCATAATGGCATCAATCCAACCCTTGAAATTCATCATAAAACAAGGAGGTCAAATCTCAATATCTCCCACTAAATGAATAATCATGATGCCATTGAAAAGTCTTAATGCTCTTTAAGCCAAGCCTAACTTGGATCAGTTGGATACTCCACTTTGTGATTTAGAAACTTCATACTTCACCCAACCCCCAAATAGCTATAGGAAACCTATCATCTTCCATACCAACTATTCTACTTGGAATTGAGCAGGTGGACAACTATTACAAGTAACTTTTAGCTTGTAAGTTAAAAAATACACATCGAACTCCTAAATCTTTTGGATTCATAAGCTAACTTGCTGGCGAAAGCAATTCCACAACTCTTTCGGATATTATTCTTTTAATAGGCATGATCCCACACCTTAGATCAAAAGATGTGTGAAAGTGAAGGGCATGCCTTTCCAACAATTCCCGCAGCCTAATGACGGCTGCTTATCTTTATAAAAATGAAATAAAAAAGGGTTTTTCCACAATCATTACGTAACTGCATTTTTTTAATCATTGTCATCATCACGTTAAGGCAACTTTTCCCTTAAATTTTAGGCTTAATTAGAGAAAGACTAAGGTGCCTTTCAACCAAGAAATTATTTCGTGTGGAGATGCATGCGATATCGATATTCACCGTCGATTACCGCGATCAAATTCTTTTTTTTTAAAAAAAAATTAAAAATGAAACCCACCGAAATACATTTTTGCAGTGATCGACGATGGAGATCAGATATTGCATGAATCTCTGCATATGAAATAGTTTTTACTTTCAACCAGAATAAATCTTTTGTCAGTATACAGAATATAAAAATTCCAGCCGCTAATTGATAAAAATTCCAGCCGCTAATTGATAAGGTAAATTTACATATCTACCTCACAATTCTTATCCATTTATACCTCCAAGGCATTGAAAATCTATGCAAGGAAAGATTTTCTTTACTTTTAAAAAGATAATAATTGTAGTATTTTTTATTTGATGTTAAAAATTTGAGTGATATGCATGCAAATATGAATGTTTAGATGTCAAATATGTTGATACATATAAGATGTGTGGCATGTATGTAAATGCCCCACACCCCCAATTACTTCGCCATAAGGAATGCAGATAAGGAAGAGATATGAAAATACACTATGCAAACATTGAACTTGAAACATATCAAGAGGGAATCAAATCTTTGTCCAGGAACCTGTTCCCAAATCTGACCATTGAACTTGAAACATATCAATTGGGGAATCGAATCTTTGTCCAGGAACCTGTTCCCAAATCTGAACATTAACTGTTGATATTTACATATTTATCCACAAGGAATTTAAACAGATAATAAGAAGCAGCGAACATCATATCCATCCATGGAAGCTCAGCTCCTCACTGCGGCCATTATGGTAGTGAGACATAGCAGAAGCTTTTTGTATAAAGGTTTAGGTACATTCTGAAAGAGGCTAGCTGAGGTCAATGTCGACGCGTTCCGGAATTTCTCTCTCATTCTGTTGATCGACCAGCTCGATGCCAAGCTGTCCCTTATCGCCCGCCCCGAAAGCATACAGCTTACCTGACTCTGTGAGAGCGAATGTGTGTGCATTCCAATATAGGGAGTTGGTCAGGCTGATCTGCACAACCCTTTCATTGATGTTTTTGAGTGAGGTCACTAGTTCTGGTCTGTACAAGTTTTTGTGCCTGTTTATTACCTTTTACATCAGAGGAAATTAGAATATCAGAGCTTGTCAAAGGAAACTGATAAACGAACATATATTAATTTCAACAAAGATGCAATTTTTATCTCATATTTTTGAATCCAAACATTTCTTTATGGGCATTTGAGATTTTTTTTTTTGTTTATTTTTAATTTATTTTGCTTTGAAACAAAAAATGTTTAGTTATTTGTTTAGGGTAGATTTTGCAACAAGTCAGAGAGAATTAAGTAAAATCATTTTGAAGGAAGCCAGGTGTCCAATATATGGTTGGGAAAAACAATATCATGAATCCAAAAGGGGAAATTAAGATTATTTTCAAGCAAGGAAGCGTTGAGGAAAATCTAACTCAGAATGTATGTGATGATATTGAATTTGGCCACAAGCAACAAAAAACTTCAAGAAATTGAAACTTAATATTCAATCCTTGGAATTACACAAAAATAAAAATTTATTTGTCTCAAATTTCTGCATTAAAGAAACTAAATTATGATAAAAAAAATTACGTCAAAACTCAAGAAGAAATGCTAAGGATTTGTTTGAGATCACTTTTATTTTTACTTTTTTTTTATATTAAAAATATGTTTGCTTAGCGTATTTTTTGCGTGCTTTCATTTTTTTTTAATACAAATTATTTTTTTTATAAATTAGTTTGTTTTTAAAAGCACTAAAAACATTTAAAAGTTGATAATTATTTTGTTCTTAAAATAAAATAATGTATAGGACTATCAAACATATTTTTGTTTTATTGTAAAGCACAAACAAAGCAAAAAATTAAACAAAAGCAAAAACAAAAAATAAGAAGTGATTCCAAATGACCCCTAAGAAACAAGGGAAGGGCATAGGCAGTGGGTGGCACTTGCCCCCTAGATTCGAGAAAATTCAAACTTAATAATATATAGAAAGATTTACATGCATACCTTAATACTAATGTATTTACATATCTAGCACCTAAAAAGTTCAATTTTTACATGTATGTCACCTTACCTATGCATGAAAAAGTGCATTTCATATCTTAAAAGTTAAAATACTGGTATTTTTTATGTGATCTGAAATATTTAGATGGTATAAATATAAGAAATAAAGTTTAGGTGTTAGATATTTAAATACATAGGAAATGGGTGGTATGCAATCATGCATATATTACACAACCTCTGCCTCCCTATATTTTGGGTAACCCCTTTCACCACTCTCACTCAAAATCTTAATTTCTCTACAGGGCTAAAGTAAGTCAACACAACATAAAAAAGACAGCTAAACAAGGAAGAACATGCCATACCTGTCCGGCAATGCCTGCAGAATGCCCAAGACTTGAGGATTCTCCACAGCCAAACGAGTAGACATCCCCATCTGCCGAGACAACAAACGTGGTGTAATCACCAGTAGCCACCTGCACAGCTTTTACATGACTCAAGGACTCCACCACCTTGGGGACTGGTTCACAATCCTCAGATCCATGTCCCAAGCAACCATACCTCCCCCATCCCCAAGTGCACACCCTTCCATCCTGGCCTACAACAGCAGCATGCCAAGCTCCTGCAGCAACAGCCTTCGGCTGGAGATTCAAAGCTTGAAACTGCTCGATCAACCTTGGATGCCTCTCATCCGTTCTCGAACCATGCCCCAGCTTCCCTCCCAATCCACAACCAAGAGAGTAGACAGACCTAGAGAACATTAAAGTAGAATATAACTTTGATAACCGTGAGAGTTTGAGGTAAACTCTAAGTAGTATCATATAAAGAATTAAAGCTTCTGATTCAAAAAAGAGTTTTTCTATTTGTGATGAAGCTGCATTTGAGGTAAACTTTCTGATAATGAAATTACTAAAAACACAACATTTTGTTATCAAGGCATAGCAATCGAACAGAATGAAAGGGATACTGCAAGAGGAAGACCAAAAAAACTAGGTATTCCATCTTAAATTTTATTTGAGAATAGGAATTGGACTAGTGGGGGAACAACTTGAATTTCCATATCCGGGAAAAGATGGGTTGAGTTTCAAAAACACCACAGAAAATTTGCACAAAATAGGCAATGGAACACCCCTATATCCTTAACCCTTCAATAGAAGTAGCACCATACAAATATGAAATTTTAACAAGATAATTACGCTTAAGGAAAAAACGGCAAGTATATCAAAGAATATAGATGGTCAGAGAAGCTTACATGCCACTTGGCTGGCATGTTAAAGCAAGAAGATAGCAATAACCAGCAGCAATCTGCACGACTGGAATGTTCTCAAGCGTGCTACCAAGAAGATGCGGCTCAACATCATTGGGCTCGGTCTGATGACCAAGGTTGGCATCCTTGCCCCATGAAAAGGTATAAACTTTACCCTCTCTGGAAAGAACAGCTGTGAAGAAGTTCCCAATGGCTGCTTGAACTATGAATACCCCTTTCAAGGACTCCACCAGCTGAGGTTTGGTAACGAACTTGAAGCCCTGAATTCCAAACTCAGCATCCCCAAAAGAATCCTTTCCAAAGGCATACACCATTCCAGCATCACTGATCAGCATAGTACGTCCAGCTCCGGTAGCTGCTTGGATTATTCGAATACCTTGCAGAGTCCTGTGAATTATTTCATGTTCTGAATTATTATGTTAATGATACATACAATGAAAAGATAATGAAGTTTGGAAACAACTTGATGAGGCGAGGCCTCCACTCCTCTTCCTGGGTGCCATGGCCGAGCTGGCCTGAGTTATTTGAACCGAAGGAGTAGACAGCTCCACGTGAAGTGACAGCAATGCTGTGACCAGGACCAGCAATTGCCAGGGATTTCTCCCTTCGGCAGCATGCTTCACCTGCCAGCAAATAGCGAAGGACTAACTTCCATGAACCACCACATATTTGTTTGAACATCTCCCTCTCTTCTGTTGTCATTGGCTTAAATATAGCCCTCTTCTGGCACATGTCGAGAGCCGCAAGCTCTGTTATTGACAGTTCGAAGTCTGGAAGGAAATTGGCGGGTTGCTTGAAGAATGTGCAAGTTGCCTGCCATAATCAGCAATACCAATAAGCAGCATTACCAATTCTAACGTTTAAATTTTATAAAAGATGACAACTTGCCTCAAGGTGAGCGAGATCCTCGGGATCCAAATCACATGAGGTTAGAACATGGAGAACAATGGAGGGGCTTGTTGCTAGGGGGAACTCTCCAGGATGGGCATTACCAAAGCAATGGCGTTGGCAGCGTTGAAGGCTCTGCTGTAGTGGTGTGACCAGTGAGAGAGGTTGGTCAATGAGGTTGATATAGGGGATTGAAGGAGAGGCTCCACTAGCTGTGGCGTCCATCGGGCACAGCCTGGAGTTATCTGCAATGCCCAAGTTTGAGCAGAAGAGGTAGTACAAGCTGTGTTTCATTTTTAGATATAACCAATTAATTTCAAAACCCATCGTGGTGGAATCAGTCACTAGCACATTGCATTACTGTAACTTACTATAAATCACCACAGAATGGCTTCAATGGAGAGTTTCCACGATGCCCACATCAGTTCCTCTAGATATCAGGACCTAGAGAGATAGAAGAACAATCAATATTATCGAGAAGGAATTTGTGCAGGGAAGATAGCAAAACAATGGCAGCAGAAATTATTAAATGATGCCTGGCATCTTATATAATATTAGAATTTTAGATTTAGAATGAATGCAACAATACCACAAACATCCACAATTTTTTATAGAAATAATAACA